GGACCTCTGTTAGCCATGGACAACAACATTGCTGTCTCGTGCTTAAGATGGAATCCTTCATCTGTTATAGGGAAAACAAACAAATGAAAAACTTAATATGATGAGTAAATCACTGCAGTTATCACAATTACATGCTTGTACTTCTCATAAGTTTCAACCCCAGTTAACAAAAAAATTAATTATTTTCATATATTAATTAGATAAGCAGTTAAAAATATACATCCCATTAGATCAGCTTTATAATATTAATAATAAATTAAGGGAATAAGCAAATTAAGCTCTTTTTACTGTTATAGCCAAATGAAGATCAATAAGAGTGTCATTAAATGCTGAGATCTGTAATGTTATTACATAATCCAATATTGCATAACAATGTTTCAGTCTCCACATCATGAGCAAGCTGAATTATTAGCTGACAGTTTAATATAAACCAATCAAAAGCTGAGAACATCTTGTGTAAAAGATAATTGTAAGACACAGATTTGCATAAGGTGTATAAAGTTCACTGGAAGATACAGGGCTGGACATCACTATGAACCGGGGGGGCTGGGGATTTTACCTGGGTACTATGAGCATGAGCCCTGGCTTCTCTTATAGGAAACAAAAAGAAGACAGAACCAAAAGAACTAATTTCTAGCTCAGTACAATGCCCCTCCTACTAACTGCATTTACCCAGCAACTTGAAATTTTAGCCACAGCCCTGAGATAACAGTCATTGCAGAACAGTAGAACGTTGATATAAGAAGTCCTCGATATAATGAACAATTTTATTTTAACCCCAGTATAGTAATAGTAAAATATACGGAAAATAAGCTCGATATAACGAAACCTTGTTATAACAAAAAGCAATTTTACTGTCACACCAGTAAAATGTAGTTAATGGAACATGATGCTAGTTACATATCAGCAACCCTTTCACAGCGGTTCTTTTTCAATAAAGCAATTGTGTAGTCAAGGTGTCAAGGTCAGCAAGCTCTAAGATGCATTGTATTCTAGCGTAGAACTATACGGCCTTGTTGTCATAAGCAGGCTAGTAAGAGCCACAGTACTGGCCAGTATTTTCAAAGCACTATTTATGGCTAAGAATTTGCACATGCGATGCTGAGCTGTCTTGTGGTACAGCCTTTTCTACTGGCTATGTCAGCAGACATTCGTCTAGCTATAAAAGCCAAGAACAACTGTTATAGTTTACTTGGGTTCTATTGTTCAGCAAGGTTTAAGCGCTCAGTATACTATTCTTGTAAAATTTTTTCCTCCCTCCCTCTCTTTGGAGACAATTGAGGTAATTGGGCTTTGTTTTGTGCTATGCCATCAATAAACTATAGACAAAATAATAGAAAAATCATAATTTATTTTATAACATATCAAATTTTAAATGCATGCTCTAATTGATCAAAGGTTTGCAAAGAATGATTTGTACAGCACATGACATACAGTACCGCTCAAAAGTAAGTTACCAGTCATATCTCGTTTCCTGCGCAATAAGAATCTTGTCGCACACTACGTGATTATCATCACGCTACTAGAACCGCGTAGTGCAAGAATCATTGAAGTGGCAATTTTTGGCAAAAAATTATTGACAACACATCCAGTGAGAAACCAACTAAAAATTTTGCTTAGTGTTACCTAGAAGACTGATGTAGTACATGTGTTACAGATCAAAAAAATACCTGATACAAACATGAAAAGTAACAAGCACCTAGCATCAGGTGTTAATAGTCAGCAGCTTTTGAAAACTCTGTGAGACACTGCTGTGCTTGTTACAAAACCTCTCCCTCACAACTCTCACAAAAAGATCTTATTAATGTAAGTAAAGATACAGAACCTACCGTTTATATATCGAAAAAGGTTTTATTGCAACAATCTGCAACTTCTTTTGCAAAAACTACACTTAGGCACACTTACAAGCCACTTACACATTGTGATGAAAACATTTGTTTCAAAATAACATCAGTCATAACAAATTCCTAGGTAATAATACAGCTATTAAAGGAGATTGTTTTCCAGTATCTTTGCTAATGACAATAGTTAAGGCTCTAACTCTGAAAAGTCCATTTGAGCCATCTTGATAATTATGTGTGGTTGAGCGGTTAACACCTCAAACTCTGGATCTGGAGGTCTGTGGTTTAAAGTCACCCATTGCATTGTTTCCTTAGACAAGGAACTTTACTTCACTTGGCCTCTCTTCACCCAGGTGTATAAATGGGCACTGGCGACATACTGCTGGAGGGTAACCCAGCGATTATGTCCAGGGTGAGGGGGAGGGGGGTAGCAATACTCCTAGGCATGCTTCATGCTAAGGAAACCAGGAAAAGCTTCGGCCATTTGAGCCTTTAGCTTAAGTGTGCCTTTTCCTTTACCATCTTGATATAAAAATAAAAATAATTATATACCTTTAGTAAAGTCTCCTCCTTGAATCATAAAATCCTTGATAACTCGATGGAACCCTGATCCTTTATAGTGAAGAGCCTTCCCAGAAGTCCTGCTTAAACCTTTTTCGCCTAAAAAACAGGTTCAAAGTTAATCCCGAAAATCTTGTTTAAAGTTTCCATGAAATGTCAAGTTGATCACTTAAAAAATAGCCATTCATTTCTTTAAAAGTTCAGCAATTTCATAGCACTATTGTATTAGTTTATCAGTAGTCTCTCATCATTATGTCAATTCTGGCATTTTTTTAGGGCTCTTATTCAGCGTTCCAGTTAATTATTTCAAGAGGGGGGTCATGTAGATCATCTGAGGGGTCACCAAGACCACCTGCTAATTTTTTTCGCCATATTTAACTTAAAACTTATATGTGATCTGTCGGGTCAGGAAGCCTTCCTTGTCTGGTCATTGACCCAAGTCCCATCTCTTACCTGGCACACTGTTATTACTTTTAGTTTTAGAATACACTTGCTAAAGGTTTTAATGTCTGCTTTTCTTTTTTTCTGTGTTATCATTTAAGAGTCCGTGACTCCTAGTCTTAATGCATTGTAAGTCAGAGGAAGGAAGTAGCCATGAATTTAATATTATGACCCCATCCCACTTACAAGTGAGTACAACCAACCACACATCAACTCTAAAACACTAACATTTACATGTAATATGTAACTGATGTGGTTACCATGTATGAAAAATGATATTATTGTTATTATCACTATTATCATTACTATTATTATTAATGTTAATAAAGTAGTTGGTAGTGGTAGTAGTAGAATATGTATCTACATCAATACGTACTTTCCTACCTTTGCACAATGCTCTAAAGTTGTCAGATGTCTTAGGACAGATGTCAGCAAACAGTTCAAAAATAATCCTGCCAGCTACAAAGAATGCAAAATTGATTCTTAATTTAAATCAAGCAAGATTGAAAAGTTTTAGATTTGAGGTTCTTTCAAACCTGCCTTCTTTTGTACCCACCTACTTCTCTTTCTATGTTACAAGAAGACTGAGGTTGCTCATTGGAAACTTTATTGATTTCAATCAAATTGCCAAAATAATCCATAAAAAAAATTAGATTATCACAGTGTTCATAGGCTCAAATCATTAATTAAGAGAAGTAAGCATTCATAACCAATGCTACACAGTCACATTAATTTAAGTTTAAAATTATAGAAATTGATTAAAATCAAAGAAGCAAAACTTTTTCTATATTAAGCTTAATATAAGCTTAAGCTTCTAATAGATTATTTGACGTGTCTAGATACCCGGCAGCCGAGAACTGTTTTCAAAAATCTAGCTACCCAGCAGTCAGACACACTGAGTCAACTCCCGATGAATATCCACAGAAATTATCAACAAAACCTCACCATCATATTGTTGTGGACAAATTCTCCGAGCTTGCATTAAGCATATTCTTTAGAATCTTGACTCATTGGTACTTTCATGAAAATCTTTCTCGGCATCTGCTGAGTCTACTCGATTTGTGTGTAAAATTATAAAGAGTCTGTAGTCTTAAGAGATATCCTCTGGAGACGTTCCTGTGAGTTACAAACAACGTGAAATTTGTCGACTCGGCAGAAGAGTGACCTTCAACTTCCAGTGTAACACTACAATTGCTTGACACAAATGCTATAGGGACTTCACGATCCGGCGATGGCAAGGAGAACGGCAAAAATAGGTCAAGAAGGCTCGACGGTTGCCTCTACTTCAAGCCCAAAGCAGTATTTGAAATCGCTTGAGTTTTCTAAACAACTTNGTGCTTGGGCCGGGGCTGGGTGTGGCTGGTAGGGCTCGTGGCTGGGTTGCAGGTAGGGCAGGCTTTTGGGGTGTTATTGCTACCTGGGTTAGGGGTTGGTGGCTCCAGCCCATAGGTTCCTAGGCACCCAACCTCCATGTGCGACTCAGGCATTAATCTACCCATAACGTGTGAAATCTTCCACCATTTACTCTTGGTCTTCAGCACCAAAACAGCCAAACCATCACTCTGCTTCTTTGCTTGATTTCTGTGCATCCTTTTCCAGTTTGGAGGTGTGTCTGACAGAACGGTTAACACCTTGAACTCCAGATCTGGACGTCCAGGGTTCAATCCTCGTGTTTCGAATGGTTTCCTTAGACAAGGAACTTTACACCACTTTGTCTCTCTTCACCCAGGTGTATAAATGGATACCGACAAAATACTGCTAGGGGGTAACCCCGTGATGGACTAACATCCCATCTAGGGGGGAAGGGGGAATGGCAAGACTCCTGTAGTCATGCTTCATGCTAAGGAAGCTGGGATAAGCTCCAGCCTTTTGGGGCCTTTGGCTTGCACACACCTTTAATCTTTTTTTTTACCTTTTCCAGTCTGAGACTTTACTATTGGCATCAGCCTTTAAATCGAAGCAAACGTCTTTCAATTTTGGCAAATAACCAGCAAGCTCAGGAAAGAAATACCGGGGCAGCCATGGAATTTAATTAAGCCAATCAGTCAGGGATGGAGAAATATTTTAAATGAACACACTGTAGCCATAATTGAATTACAGCAGAAGTTTTCTTTGCAAAATGTGTTTGTCTTGAGCAGGAAAGTAGAGCTGTACAGTATGGAGTGGCAAGATGCTGTGGATCTATCCCGGTTTATTGTGAGTGCAGCACCTTTTGGTGGTCCAATAGGTAAGTACATCAGACTTCTTCTAAGTGTTGTTTAACGAACAGGGTGGTCAGGTTTCATTTCCCTGCATTATCTTAGGGTAAATAGGACTCACCAGGGTAAACGTTGAAGAGCCAGAACCACAGAAATGTTCTTAACAGCACTGTAAGTACCGGCATTAATTTGTAAGTTATGTCTATAATTATCAGCAAGAGTCCATTATACTGTACCAGAATTTTGTTTCAGTCAACTGTCTGTACATGTCAAAGGATTTGGCTGAAAAAAGTTTAAAGGAAGAAAACAACTCTGAATAAAACATGCAATTGATAAAATATTAAAAAATGTCATTACTTTCAACCTGCAGTCCAGCTGTGTTGTATGTAGATGCTTAACTGTCAGTAATAGTTAAAAAAAAAATAATTGAAGGGCTCCATGCTAAATTGCCCCATGCCCCTGTGGTGTATTTTTGGGATGATTGGGATTTAAGTAAGTTTAATTGCTAATGCACACCATTGCTAGCTCATTTACTCTTCAACATTTATGGGGGGTCATGTAGCAGCTGCTCAGAAGAGAAGTCACCAATGGTGCCTAACCCTGACCCCAAACAATACTGAAACAATTGAAAGAATGACGT